TCAGTCTGTGGCCAACGAAGCTACTGATGTTTGGAGAGGATGTGCAGTCTGATCAACTGCACGTACCTGCGAGTCATTTTGATTCCTTTCCGTATGGAAAGCGGCCAAGCCCAGAACCGCAAAACGGACATTTTAAAGTCCTGCGCTGTTGTCGCAATCTGTTCAATTTATTTCATGTTGGAAACCACACTGGCTATGGCGACGGTAGCTTCTTTATACCTTTTCGGGCCTCTTCACTGACCCATTCCTGTCAGGTGTAATTGGGGCGCTTTTGAACGAAAGATGCATTCCACAACAGAATTCGCAATGACGGTTCTGAGCAAGTGTGTTAATTACTCACATCGGTTCGACAAGATGCCGTGAGCCCCTTGGGGAATACCTTTGGTAGGATGTTGGATCCTTCGACTTGATCTCTGAATGTACAGTTTTAATCTAGTAATTCGTCTAAGTAAAGTGGAACAGTCGGCCTTTCTCCAACTTTCACCCTCTCGAATGTGGGAGTGTTGAGCAGCTTGCCGCTGTCTCGGGCTTCATTGTTTCTGCTGGATTTTCAAGGGTTAGTGGCTGTCAGCTGCGACAACCTCTTTTTTCCATTTTGCCCAAGAGAGTACGGTGCTCGACAATATGCCTCATGCTGGAATTTTCAGGCACCAGGTCATGCTTGCAGGTATGGTGATTCTTCCTGTTATGGTCGTTGGTACGGTTCAATTGTGCACCAATTCAAGGGTTGAATGCTAAAGCCGTCAAAGGGTTGAAGTGATTTTAGGCCATTGGGCCTGACGAGGGGAGTTTGCATTTGAGTGTGGATGGATTTTGTGACTTTTGTGTTTTTGAACTGTTGACTCTTGTTGAAACCTGACACCTCGCGCTCAGCCATGTTTCCATTTTTCGATCTTGGATGGGTCCACCTACCACTAACCCTGACCCTATGATGCAATCATTTTCAATGTGGACTCCAACGGCAAGTACTGTTCTTCCCGCTCATGGCACTCAGATGCAACAACATGCGCAGTCCCAAGCTCAGATTTCATCCTTGCGGTAGCAAAATGCTCTGCTCAACCAGCAACTCGCCACTCAAGCTGCATCCCACATCCATCAGCTTCAACAAGTCCTTTGTCCTTCTTCATCAGGCCGAATTCACAGACTCCTGCACCATCGGAAACTCCACAACCGACGGTTCAACCGGAAGTGAAGACTACCACTCCACCTCCAGTCCACACTGATGAGATGCTCCAGAAACTACGCACCAACTTCAAAGAGGGGATGGAGAACATTCTCCAGAAGTTCCATGACTCGCACCATCCTCCAACTTTACCAACACCACCTACTCCTATCAATCCGTCGCTACCGCTACAGGCGCCATCCAGCGTCCCACAAGCTCCCAACCTTCCGCGGTCACCTGGCCCTGATCGCCGCTCTCGCTCTAAAGCCCCCGGCAGGGCCCACTACCGGGAGGAGAAACGACCTGTTGCCACTTACCGCAGTCCACCTCGTTGATGTGCCAGGTCGACTGATTCCGAGGCATCGATGGCCTTCTCGGTCACCACGCGAAGGTTCGCTCAGGTTACGCTCGTGACAAGATCTCCCACACCACCTCGACGACCCTGGGATGCAGACTTGTATGGATGGAAATCCCATTCCCATGCCAGTTCTCAGCACAACTACCGATACGGCTGGTCTTCCAAAGACACCACCCAAAACCGAGATCAGCAACATGACTGGAAATCTGGTCAACAGGGTCGATGAGACCAATCCAGCTACTACGCCCAGGGTGAATACAATAACCCGCCCTCCAATCAAGTCCGTCTCCATGCGGCACAATACCCTTCCCAATCCAAGTCCATCACAGCTTATTCCGCCGATCAATCCTCGTACCACTCTCACCAAGCAAGAAGAAGCCGTCCTATGCTTCTTACAAGCCTGCACACACTCAGCAGCCAGACAAGTCCAAGGACAAACAACCTTCCAGATCCAGACATGACACTTCCTTGAAAGAAGGTGAAGTCTACCTCTCACACGTGGACGTCTCCCACGAAGAATGGACCTCCCAGGTCAAGTTTGCACTGCACCACAAATCCAGGATTAAGGCGGCTTGACCGCTGGAAACAGTCAACAAAGCCTTACTTGATGAGGCCACTCTCACTCTGACCAGCTTGGGCCCAGACATTCATCACACAAGATCAAGATGGCTACCGGCCTTCTCGGCTCCATCAATCTTACATCTGAACCGTGCTCAGGTTGTCCAGCTTCCAACCACCAGGAAAGGGGGCTCTGATTATTCCAATGCCAGCACCACAAAGGTTTGCACCTCCCCAACCCTTCGGTGGGAAAACCAGTCACACTTGGGCGCTGATGCATGGAACCTCAGTCACTGCTGATCAGTGCACTTTGCTGGAAGGATTTGTTCGTCCCGCAGACTGGACGTTCAATCCGGACCTCAAACATAGCCAGCTCCCAACCTTTGGAGCCTATGCTTTGGGACAAGAGGTCGCCAGATCTGAAACCCAAATTCCTCTATGGATCGGATGGACAGAGCTTCGAAGAAGGGGAAGGGTCAGCTTCCAATACTATCCAATACTCATTGGTGCCCTTTATGAAGGAAAGGAGGCCCATTTGAGTTGAGCGCAGGAGGTAACGACATGGCTCAATTGAAGATTCCCTCGGTGGGGGGTCGTCACCACGTCAGAAAGTACACTCTGACGCATAGTCGTCACACAGGTGTTTGTTTCTTTGCGGTGACCTGGGATCAACTTCCGTCAGGACTTCAGTCAGATTCCGAGGAAGTTCAGACGGAACCTCCTCCACCCGGCGTGCCTGTTGGAATTTACGTATGATCAAGATGATGTTCTTCCCGATTACTCCTCAGCTAGCCTTATGGCAAGCCTTCAGAACCGGAGACCGGCTTCTGACTTTCTAGGATCTCCTGGACAACAAATTTTGTAAAAGATGGCGCTGCACTGTTGCCTCAATCTGTGAAACTTTCGTGATGAGCTTTCTTTTCTTCCCTTTCGGTTTCCTTTTTGAACGTTCTTCTCTTTCAAGTTTGATTGTTGATATTGTTGCAGGGTATGTCAGGTTTTGCTTCACACATTTGTGCTGCCGCTTGGAACCATCGTTTCCTGACCTGTGTCAGATTCCAATTCACTTCTTTCGAAATGGTTTTGTACGTAATGATTACCAGTAGTACCGCGCAAGGCGGTGGCAGAAGTTTCAGAAATAGGAAACCTATAGGAGAGGTTGGTTGTGTGACTTACGGATGGCAGAGCGAATCCACTGATGGACCGACAGGTAGTTGGAGTTGTGTTTTTTGGAGTGGTTGCAATGGTTGCAGTGGTATAGTGTAGTGTGCGTGAAGTAGTGTAGTTGTAGATGTAATGTAGCGTCCAGTAGTTGTAGTTGCAGCGTAGTGTAGTGTAATTAATGTAATGTAGCGTAATTAGTGGAATGTAGTGTTGTGTATGTGTATGTCTATGGTGTAGAAGGTGTAGTAGGTGTAGTAGGTGTAGTAGGTGTAGTAGGTGTAGAAGGTGTAGTAGGTGTAGTAGGTGTAGTAGGTGTAGTAGGTGTAGTAGGTGTAGTAGGTGTAGTAGGTGTAGTAGGTGTAGTAGGTGTAGTTGGTGTAGTAGGTGTAGTAGGTGTAGTAGGTGTAGTAGGTGCAGTAGGTGTAGTAGGTGTAGTAGGTGTAGTAGGTGTAGTAGGTGTAGTAGGTGTAGTCGGTGTAGTAGGTGTAGTCGGTGTAGTAGGTGTAGTAGGTGTAGTAGGTGTAGTAGGTGTAGTAGGTGTAGTAGGTGTAGTAGGTGTAGTAGGTGTAGTAGGTGTAGTAGGTGTAGTAGGTGTAGTAGGTGTAGTAGGTGTAGTAGGTGTAGTAGGTGTAGTAGGTGTAGTTGGTGTAGTAGGTGTAGTAGGTGTAGTAGGTGTAGTAGGTGCAGTAGGTGTAGTAGGTGTAGTAGGTGTAGTAGGTGTAGTAGGTGTAGTAGGTGTAGTCGGTGTAGTAGGTGTAGTCGGTGTAGTAGGTGTAGTAGGTGTAGTAGGTGTAGTAGGTGTAGTAGGTGTAGTAGGTGTAGTAGGTGTAGTAGGTGTAGTAGGTGTAGTAGGTGTAGTAGTAGTAGTAGTAGTAGTAGTAGTAGTAGTAGGAGTAGGAGTAGGAGTAGGAGTAGGAGTAGGAGTAGTAGTAGGAGGAGGAGGAGTGCTAGTGTTAGTGTTAGTGTTAGTGTTAATGTTAGTGTTAGTGTATGTGTATGTGTAGGTGTAGGTGTAGGTGTAGGTGTAGCAGTCGTAGTAGCAGCAGCAGCAGCAGTAGTAGTAGTAGCAGTAGTAGCAGTAGTAGCAGTAGCAGCAGTAGTAGCAGCAGTAGTAGTAGTAGTAGCAGTAGTAGCAGTAGTAGCAGTAGTAGCAGTAGTAGTAGTAGCAGTAGTAGCAGTAGTAGCAGTAGTAGCAGTAGTAGCAGTAGTAGCAGTAGTGGCAGTAGTGGCAGTAGTAGCAGTAGTAGCAGTAGTAGCAGTAGTAGCAGTAGTAGCAGTAGTAGTCGTCGTAGTCGTCGTAGTCGTCGTAGTCGTAGTAGTAGGGGTGGTGGTGGTGATGGTGGTGGTAGTGGTAGTGGTGGGAATGTCGAATCACGGATGGCAGAGCAAATCCACTGATGGACCGACGGCAGGTGGTTGGAATGTCGAATTGTCCATTTGTCTATCTGTCTAATCATCCATCCGTCTATCTTTCTTTTCTCTCTACTGATCTATCTGTCTGTGAACCTATCCATCTGCTTAGCTCTCTATCCGTTTTTGCAGCCGTCCATCCATCATCCTATTTCTGTCTATGTGTCCATCTGTCTATCTTTCTCTCTACTTCTCTCTTTCCCAGTCTCCCAACAGTTCTTTCTGATCAACGGTTAACAAACGAAATTGGCGCACAAAAAAATCTGCGCCTGCCACCCTGCTGTGTGGCTACAGGCGAGGTTGCTCGTGAAGACATCGCTCAAGTTCTTCTCTTGCAGCTGTGCAATT